ACAATAGCCTAATATTAAATTTCAGCATATAATTAACTAATATATAATGCCTAAAATTGCCCAAACTTTTAAAATCATAAGAATTAATCAACTAAACAAAAATCATGAAATTTAGACCATAAAATCCTTATATCATAAAATAATCTACAAAATTACAATAAAAATTTTTAAATAATTAAAAATATTTTTTGAATTCTTCGTATTCGATGATATAAATAAACTTTAATTAAATCACAACCCATCTAAATAAACTTCAATTAAATTGAAATGTTACATGAGGATTATATAGCAATAATTTTTAGAATTGTTGCAATTAATTTGAATTTAATCAATTAGAATAATTAAAAAATTATAAAATAAAGAAAATTTCAAAATTAATAAGAAAAATTTCAAATATCTTTTGATTTAAAGGGTAATTTCATGATGATTTGAGATGTATTTGATCAAATTTTGGATTTTCTATTCAAATCTAGTTAAAATTCTAATTAACCCTTTAAGTAAAGAATAAATACCATATGGGCCTAACATATACCCAAATAGCCTCTAAGATCTTACAGAGCAACACATTAACTAAGATGAAACCCAATCAAATCAACTCTAATTAACATAACTTAAATTGAATAACAAGATTAACTTAAAGCACATAAGCATGTAGGTCAACCTTAAGCCAAGTTTGAATTTTGAAGGAATGAATATACGATCTATGATTGCACGTATGAATGCCATTCATATATAAGAACCATTATAATTAGCATAATTTGGCTTGTAAATCGCATGTATGATCTAATAAATCATGATAAACTTCAATATAGACATGCATAAATATTAATTTATGAGGTCATCAATCCATAATAAAATTTAACATTGTATTTGTAATCAATTATAGTACTTTTGTACATAATTTTTTATAATTTTAACAAAAAATTATTTGATTTCAAACTTAGTTAATTATCTGAATATAAATTTTACTAAATGATGAAGTTTAGGAAATAATGAGGATTGTCTCATTTTCTTCTTTTAAGTTTTCCCTCAAATCCTTCATGTATAGAAAAATAGACGAAGAGGGAGAGGGGGAGAAGATTTCGTGGTTTTGTGGTCTCATTTGCATGATAGAACGATTGAAAAAATTGATTTATGTAAGGTTGGCAACCATTCTTGATCCATAATTTTTAATATTTTTTATTTTTTTATTTTATTTTCTGAGGAATATAGAATTCAATAGATGATTTGAAGATTTTATAGATTTCCACTAGGTAACTTTGTAGTATATGAAATTTCTTAAGATTCAAAACGAATCTACATAATGATAAATGATGTAAGAAATAAGGTATTATACTTATAAATTATTATGTTGTCTAACTAATGAAAATAGGTCCATGATATTGATGTGATAATATAATTAATTTGAATTTAATCAATTAGAATAATTAAAATATTATAAAATAAAGAAAAAATCAAAGTTAATAAGAAAATTTTCAAATATCTTTTGATTTAAAAGGTAATTTCATTATGATTTGAGATGTATTTGATCAAATTTTGGATTTTCTATTCAAATCTAGTTAAAATTCTAATTAACCCTTTAAGTAAAGAATAAATACCATATGGGCCTAACATATACCCAAATAGCCTCTAAGATCTTACAGAGCAACACATTAACTAAGATGAAACCCAATCAAATCAACTCTAATTAACATAACTTAAATTGAATAACAAGATTAACTTAAAGCACATAAGCATGTAGGTCAACCTTAAGCCAAGTTTGAATTTTGAAGGAATGAATATACGATCTATGATTGCACGTATGAATGCCATTCATATATAAGAACCATTATAATTAGCATAATTTGGCTTGTAAATCGCATGTATGATCTAATAAATCATGATAAACTTCAATATAGACATGCATAAATATTAATTTATGAGGTCATCAATCCATAATAAAATTTAACATTGTATTTGTAATCAATTATAGTACTTTTGTACATAATTTTTTATAATTTTAACAAAAAATTATTTGATTTCAAACTTAGTTAATTATCTGAATATAAATTTTACTAAATGATGAAGTTTAGGAAATAATCAGGTCTGTCTCATTTTCTTTTTTTAAGTTATTTTTGAGGTCTTTTCCCTCAAATCCTTCATGTATAGAAAAGAAGACGAAGAGGGAGAGGGGGAGAAGATTTCGTGATTTTGTGGTCTCATTTACATGACAGAACGATTGAAAAAATTGATTTATGTAAGGTTGGCAACCATTCTTGATCCATAATTTTTAATATTTTTTATTTTTTTATTTTATTTTCTGAGGAATATAGAATTCAATAGATGATTTGAAGATTTTATAGATTTCCACTAGGTAACTTTGTAGTATATGAAATTTCTTAAGATTCAAAACGAATCTACATAATGATAAATGATGTAAGAAATAAGGTATTATACTTATAAATTATTTTGTTGTCTAACTAAATGAAAATAGGTCCATGATATTGATTATGCTAAATGATTTTCTTATAGAAGAATATGAGAATCATCATTCACTTGATGTTTTTTTTTTAATGGAGATAATTCTATCTAGTATTGTTTAAGATATAATTTACAAATAGATTATTATTATTTTTATATTGATTTTCTTATAGACATCATGTACACTATTACACTTTATGCTCATCATATTGCACATATGGGTTGTTGTATTTAGACAGTTTTTAATGATATGTGCATATGGTTTCAATGCTTATGTAGATATTGCCAGTATTGTTATAATATAAGACTTCATAATAGATGTTATTTTTAGTATAAAAACTATCATATATGTCAGTCTTTTGGAGGTTAATAAACTATTAAATTATGACATAAGCTTTGAAAATGTATTATTTAAATTATAGTTTGTATTTCTTGCGTGATTATTGAAATTTTGAAAAAAATTACTCGTGACTTAGTGATATTTTTCTCGTAAGCCTCACCTTAACCTAACTTCTGATTTATTCAGCTTTGAATGTAGTGGGGATAACTCCTTGATATTTTTCAGTTCCTTATTATTTTGTGCCTATTCTACAACATTTAAAAAGAAAAAATGACAAAATCTATGAAAATAATATCTCAATCATCATTACTATCTTATATAGAACAAAATAACAACTAAGATGATAGAAAATGCATTTATCATCTTAAAAATAATTTATAATGTTCTCCAATGGAAAATTTTAGGATACTTGGTTCACAAATTGGTAGTTGTTTTACTAGCTATTATTAAATCTTATTTCTCTTTTGTTGTAGTAGGATGTTTTCTTAGGCTATAATATTTATCCTATTGCTTGAGAATTTTATTATTTTATGAGGCTTATTTACCTAATTGATGTCATGATTTTCATGTAGTGGGGTGTCTAAAATTTATATACATTTGAGGTTTTATGGTATATGCCGTGTCGAATAGTTCAATTGGGTGGCAATTTTTTTCTTTTTATGTTGGCTCGTATTATTTTATATTACATGGGGTTCAATTGATTTTAGTGCTAGTTAAAGGAATTTTTTGTTAACATTTTGTTGTCTCTTTGAAGTTGCATAATCTTAATTATTTACATACTTGATGATTCTGTACAATTCTATAATGATTTCTTTTTAGCTTATATTATGACGAACTATCAATTTTTTATATACTTTGATATTCTAGATCAATTATGGTTAGTTATACCATTCATTAAATGGCCTAAGTTTCTTACTCCTCATCAGACTAGTACGAGTACAATTGCATTATCCATAGCAAGTGAAAAATATTGTGCTATTGTACATACAGAAGCGACATAAATAAAAAGGACTAAAATCTCACTTTGGCAATTCACGTCTGATTCAAATTTATATTACAGAATGGCCTAAGTTTCTTACTCCTCATCAGACTAGTATGAGTACAATTGCATTATCCATAGCAAGTGAAAAACATCGTGCTATTGTACATACAGAAGCGTCATAAATAAAAAGGGCTAAAATCTCACTTTGGCAATTCATGCCTGATTCAAATTTATATTATAGAGCACTAAATGAGTAAAAAACCATCATTTTGGATGCCAACTATCTTAGTTAGCAATGCTTTAAAAGTGAGTTGAATATCTTCAACAACATCTACCTTTGAGTTGGCACTTTTCATCCAACTTGATGATATATAGTTTTATCGTTTGGTAAGATTTTTCTTCGAATACTCATCTTAGCATATCATTTGGATTATGTAGGTACAAGTGTGATGAGGGGCTACTCTTCAAAACTTCTACTTCAATACTATTTGTGACTTGTGATAATATCTAGAGAGCAAAATGAAACAATAAATGAAAATAACATCTCAACTATTATCACCATCTTATATAAAATAAAATACCAAATGTGATGAAGACAAAATTGGAATCATCTCCAAAATATCGTTGAGCTTGACAAATTTTAATGCTCTCCACTATTAAGTTTTATGCTACTCGGTTCACATAATTGTTGAATGTTTTATTGGATGTCATTGGAACTTATTTTCCTTATGTTTTAGTTGGATGTTGTGTTTGGCTTTGATCCGTCTTGAGAATTTTGTTGTTTTATGAGAGTTAGTTGGCTAATTGATGTCATGATTTTCGTGTGAATTGGTCCCTATCAGTTATCATTGTTTTGAGGCTTTACATTGTGCTGTTTTGGATGGTGTGAATGAGGACATTTCCTTGATTTTTGGCTAGTTGCTATTTCTTACACAAAATTTTGTTGGTTAGGCCAAGGAGGCAATTATTGTTCACATTTTGTGGTCCATTAATGGGGCATTTCTTTGGTTCCCTTCTTCTTTAATGATTCTATGCAGTTTTATTATTAACTTGTTTTGATTTTGAATTATGTTAAAATATCATACTCTCCATGTTTTAATACCTTGGATGAAGTTCACACTCCTCACAATCATGGCAATGCGTACAACTACATCACCTCCCCTTGCTTTAAATTTTTTTTTAAAAAAAAGAAAATACAACTCTGTTGTACATAAAGAAGCCATAGAAGAAAGAAAGCCAAAATGTCATTTTGACAACTCTTACATAACTAAAATTTACATTACATTGAACACTAAAAGAGTAAACAACTATTATTGTAAGTGTTAACTACCTTAATAAAAATTCTAAAAATTATTATCGAACTTTTATAATCTAATCTCATCAGCATCAGAGAGAGAGAGAGAGAGAGAGAGAGAGAGAACTGGTTCCAGTGAGGAGAAATTGGCCTTTTATCTGTACCTAGTGGCGGGGTAATGGCTCTGCAACGCGGGAGAAGAGCACGGAGCTGAGCTGCTCCTGCGTGTACCCGCAACTCGACATCTTTACCGTTGCTTGCAGGATCATGAGGTCCTTGACCACTGAAACGCTGGCGTAGTATAGCTCAAGATCCAAGTCCTTGAGCGTAGCCATCAGTCTCGCCGCCGGATGGTTCTTACGTTGGCACTGTATACGTATCATTGCTTCCACGCCGAGAAGCTTCACCTCAATCTCCACACCGGAGGACCGCAGGGGACCATTCATCGCCTTTAGCTCATGCTCCACCGTCGCCGCTATGCGAGGTAGCAGGGGTCGTGAGCTCCCAGCATCGCTCTCCTCCTTGATCGACTCGAGCTGTAACTGCAGCTGCTCGTTGTTACTCTCCAGTGCTTGCAGCTTTGATCTCAGCTCAGTGATGTAAGATATGGCGTCGCCGAGAAGCGAAGCCTTGTCCATCTTTGAGACGTTGGGGACGACGGCGCGCAGCGCGTAGAACCTCTGGTTCAGTTTCTCACGCCGCATACGTTCTGCCTCCACATGATTGAGAGGCTCCTCCCGACCGTTGGCCGGCTTGCGGCCGCGCTTCCGCGGCTTCTTCTCGGGCTCCACCACCCTGCTGCTCTCAGCCTCGCGCACTGAGGCGTCGAGATCGGAGTGGTCAGAATCGGCAGCAGCCGAGACTTTTTCTTGTTCGGCAGACACGGGGCGGGCTGAGGAGAAGGAGAGCATGCCCTGTTCGTTGCTTTCAAGGGACGTGGTAACCTTGGCGGTTCTCTTTGTTTTCTTATCCTCCATGATTTGTTGCTGGGGTGAGGGAGCGGAAGAAACTGAATTCCTCTTGATTTCCCCAAAGTTGAGGACATTGCCGGAGTCCGGCTTGAACTGCTGGGAAGGGGCGGCGTTATTGAGAGTAATATCTGAGAAACTGAACTTACTGCTGTAGAATGGCTGCTGCTGATTCACTGGTTGATGTCGGTTTTGTTGCGGTTGATTGATTGGAATCATATTTGGGCTTTCGGTGAGGTCACTGGTGCTAGGATTGTGCAAAGGAAATGGGGATTTTGAAGGAGAGATATTGGCAGTTGGTGGAGAAACCGAGTCCTTGATCCCTATGACGGACGGATCTGAGATCCAAATCGTCGACGGATCAGTTTCAATTTGATCTGCCACAACCGGCGGCAACCAGAGCGCCGCGGCGGCGGAGCTTTCTTGGCCGTTGCAAACGAACAGAGCCTTAACCTTGTTCATTATCTCCGCATTATGGAAGATAACCTCCGTCGATCCGAACTCCAGGACGCCGGTTCCCACCGGAACGTAGACCATTGTCCGGATCCCCAAATTATTCGCCTGTCTGGCGCGCTCGCAGGACTCCATGGCGAGCCGATCGGCGCCTGAAAACCAAGAAGGCGCGCCAGAGAGAAAAGCCTGTCCCGGAAGATCGTGGCCATTGATGAAGGATTGAGTCATGGAAACAAGAAAAAACCACTCCGTGTCGGTAACCTCCTCCTCCACCGCATCCTCAGGCGAGGACCCGGATGCGCCGCCGGAGATCAAAGAGTTTAATTCACGAAGCACACGCTTCCTGTTTTCCTGCTCCGCCGCGGAGGCGGCCGTTTTCGCTTTCTGCTTCGTCTTCCCCTCCTCGCTGCCCTTGTAGTACCCATCACCCCAGCCAAGAATTATCGCACCCGACCCAGCGTCATTAGACGACTGCCAGAAAATCGCATAGGTCCAATTCTCCCTGCCCCCTTCGATCAGCATCTGCAGCCTCTGTTGCAGATTATCCTGTGTAAAATAAGCCGGCTTGGTGGCCCCGGCGAGGGAGGAAGGATTATTACCCAAAGACATCGGCGTCGGAGTCCAAGGAAACCCGGGGAGTTCAGTTGAGGCCATAAAGGCCTCCATCATGGAGGCGTTATCGTCCGTCCAAAGGTTCATGTCAACAGCATAAAGGGGAGGAACTGCAACACTCGCCCGCTCTAGTGTAAAGGTTTTGGCTTGCGGTTTTTGGAGATGGGAAGAGATAAAAGTATGGCCGGTGGGTTTCAGAGGCGGTGATGGTGGCGTAAAAAGCGGAGAGTAATGCGATAGAAGAGACGAAGGAAGGTTGGTTGCCCACGGAAATGGCTGCCTTCTATATTGTTATAACTTATTATTATGTGTGGGGGAGAATCGGAAAGTGTGTGCAGGTTTCCACTTAGTTTTGCTTATGATTTCGACTTCATTTACGATTCATCCCGTCAGTTACTACTTACCAGCTTGGTTTTTACCCTCCGTCGGTTTCAATTTGGCTTCTGGCTTAGTAATATATTTTAAAAGACAAAAGAAAAATGTTACATGTGATGAAAAACGTTATAATAATTTAAAGAGTATAATATTAACAAGTTTATTGCTTTCTATTGAATAAATTAATTTAAAAATAATTTAATGTTGAAGATAAAATATATTACGGTTAATAAGGGCTGATCTGTAAATGGCTTTCAGTAAGACTGAGTCAGACCTCATTTATTGTCGATTCATTGTTGCATTTTAATTAAGTTTTTTTTTTTATTTTTTGTCTGATATAAACGCTTTTATTTACTTAGATAAATATAAATCTAAATATAAATATAAATATATTGGAGAAAGGGGGAATTGGAGATACATATATTAGCATGTCTAGATACAATATTCATGTTTATTTTCTCTAATTAATTGGATTGTTATCCACCTCTAGTTTAAGTTGGTTGAGAGCTTTGGCCTTAATAATGCTCATTTTGTTAAATAAAAATTAATTTAATTTAAATAAAAATATATGATTTATCATAACAATGTGCATTTTTTTAAATGCCTAATTAATTTAATTAGTACATGAAATAATGAATTAAATAGTATTAATATCTATGTTATAGAAATTTTATTTAAAATTCAAAATTAAAAATTAATTATTTACCCACGATTAAATTTTTATATTTATTTTAATTAAAAATATTGTTCAACACTTAGAAATAGAATGCGTGTAATAACTACTTTCAAAATTATGTGATTATGACATCAAAAAAATATGCTACAGTTTTTTCAAAGACGAGCAAATTAATAGAGAAAAAATATAATTACATTACTCTTAATTTAATTAAATAATTAGTTGCATAGGACCACAATACTCTTTATAAGCAATTCAATGAAGCAATAAATGAAAACAAATTTGAAGTAAATATAATTAATAATGTAGATATATTACAATAACAATGAATATAGATTCTTACTATAAATTTTATATATAGTTTAATATTTATATGGTAGAGAATAATTGCAATAAGTTAACATTCTCCTACAAACTAATAATGTTGGTGAAGGAATCATTGAGACATTGCTTACTACAAGTAAAATTAAGGAAACATATGGTATTTAAATTAATCAAGTCATTAATAGATCAACACTATAATGTTATCATCATCATCACTCAAATTAATCAAGCCATTAATATATAAAGGAAGTATGATATTTACAACATGAGTGTATTTAAGAAAAAGTGTGGATTCTTGATCACAAGATTAAAGCTAACTGAGGTAAATGCAGTAAAAAAGTTCTTAGACCAAGCATGTAGTGCCTATTTAATATTTATTATGTTTCTTACATCCATAAATGTTACCATGTTATGAGAAATGCTAGGAGGGGTGACAATATAAACCCTTTCCTGAAGATC